AACCTTGTTTTGGAAGTCCTCTGTACTTGATTTGAGAGACGAACTAGCTTTAGGCTGAAAATCTCTCATATCACGATACGGTGTTCTGTGCTTGTTCATGAAGCCCTTTGAGCTTAACCTTGGATGACCTCTGATGAAGACTTAGGAGTCCTCTGAATTTGTCAAAATAAAGTCTTTCAGCTCATTTTCGAGGGCCTCTGTACTCGAGTTTCGTTGTGTATGCTCCAGAAGTTCTTCTGGACTTGTGTTGAAAGTCTGCTGAATTTGCTCAGCAAGGCCTTCTCAACTAAAAAAAAAATAGCTGCAGATTAAATTTTACAGCAAAATTTAAGCTAATATTTGCTTGTGTATGCTAGTCTGCAGCTAAAATTATTCAGGAAGACTTGTGAACTTGTTCTGGTAGTCCGATATTCTCTTTACTTTAGAGTATTCCCCTAAAATTGTTCTTCCCTGAATGTATTCTGAACTTGTTTTGGAAGTCCTTTGCATTTCTTCTGGAAGGGCTATGTAAGTGTGCTTTATCCTTGCACTCCAAGTTTTCTTGAATGTTCTATTTAGTTTCCCTAAATACCCTGTGGACTTATTTTTGGGATTTTCACCCTAGATATTTTGGAAATCGGTTGGTTCTACCTTGAAAGTATTGTCGTTTTGCCCTAGAAGATTCCTGAACTTGCCCATTAAGTCCTTTGAAATAGTCCTAGAATGCGTCTTACTTTTTTTCCTTTTGGTTAATTTTCCATCGATCTTGTTTTCCGTGCTGAGCACAAATGCTACCGACACCTGGACCCTAACTATCGACCCATCAACTCATGATTTGGTGACCAACGGCTTTACTTTCCGTGATCAGAAATGTTATGCCTCAGAACAAGCCGGTGGCTCCGACTGGTATTGAACCCAGGCCTGCTGGGTTGAGAGGTATTCACGCTTACCACTACACCACGGTGCCACTGATGCGTGCAGCTTATTTTAAATCTTCCAGATTTGTTTTTCAAGTTATTGACTTATAATCGTAAGCTATCTAGATTTGAACTTGAGGTTCTCTCTGCATATCGGGAAGTTATTTCAAATTGTTAAAGTATTCCTCATGATTTGTTATGGGATTCCCATGAACTTACTATGTAACTCAACTGGGTTTGTACTCAATGACCAACAACCTTCTGAACTACGCTTAAATCACAATCAAATTTGAATTACGAGATACGAAAACCAATTTTACTTGAAACAGCCCAATTGATTTAGGATTACGAGAAACCAAGTCAAATTTTACAAGGAAAAGCGCAATTGATTTTGAATAACGAGAAGCGAAGTGAAAATTTACTTGGAAAAGCGAAATCAATTTTGGATTACGAGAAATGAAAACAAATTTTACTTGGAAAAACCTGCAATGAATTGGGTTATTTACCCATGACAGGGAGAGTGATAATAGTTAATTAATAATTCGAAATGTTTTCGTTGATGGTTTGAACGGATATACTTTAATTTAATAATATGCAATACAACATTACCTACGGGAGACATCTGCAGTCAAGTTATGTTCTCTTGCTTTATTTAAACGATCACCAATCGGTGATCGACATTCGAATAGAGAGACAGAGAGCGTGTTAAAATGAGAGAATAGCATATGCAATGGAGAGGGCGTTAATAGCTGCTTGGTAACTTAGCACTAGAGCATCCTTGGCAACAGTGAATTGTGCACATGATCCTTATGGGACAGAAAGAGAAATCGCTGACATGTGTTTTCGATCATCGAGCCACTTCATGCACTTCGTTAACTTGGGAAACTATTTGAAGCAAGGTCCCACGAGTGTGGTCTTGAAACTAATGGTTCTTGGAAATAAGAATAGGTTCTAGAATTTGATGACATGTAAGATTCACATATCCAAAACCCAATTGTTCGTGCTAGCGACGATTACCGCCTTTACCCTAAGCATAACATAGTTATTAAACCAGTCCATAGATGTCACCACTTGTCCATCTATAATTATCACACAACGTAGAAAATCAGGTCCTACCGTGCGCGATCACCAATTGATAACGAGAAGTGAAGTCAAAATTTACTAGGAAAAATCGAATTTTAATCATGAGACACCAAGTCAAATTTTACTAGGAAAAGTGCAATCGACATTGGATTACGAGAAGCAAAGTTGAATTTTACTTGTAAAAGCAATATCGAATTTGGATAACGAGAAGCGATGTCTAATTTTACTAGTAAAAGCGCAATCGAATTTAGATTAAGAGTCAAATTTTATTTGGATTAGCGCTATCGAATTTGGATTACGAGAAACGATGTCTAATGTTAATTGGTACAGCGCAATCGAATTTGGATTACGAGAAACCAAGTCAAATTTTACTTGGAAAAGCGCTATCGAATTTGGATTACGAGAAACGATGTCTAATTTTAATTGGTACAGCGCAATCAAATTTGGATTAAGAGAAATGAAGACAAATTTTACTAGGAAAAGCACAATCGAATCTGGATTAGGAATCAAAATTTACTTGGAATAGCGCTATCTAATTTGGATTACGAGAAACGATGTCTAATTTTAATTGGTACAGCGCAATCGAATTTGGATTAAAAGAAACCAAGTCAAATTTTACTAGGAAAAGCGCAATTGGTTTTGGATAACGAGAAGTGAAGCCAAATTTTACTTGTAAAAGCGCTATAGAATTCGAATTACGAGAAGCGATGTCTAATTGTAATTGGTAAAGCGTAATCAATATGGATTAAGAGAAATGAGGTCAAATTTTACGAGGAAAAGCACAATAGAATTTGGATTACGAGAAACCAAATCAAATTTTACAACATAGTAAAAGCACAATCGAATTTGGATTACGAGAAACCAAGTCAAATTTTAGTAAGAAAAGCGCAATTGATTTTGGATAACGAGAAACGAAGTCAAATTTTACTTGAAAAAGCGCTATCGAATTCGAATTACGAGAAGCGATGCCTAATTTTAATTGGAACAGCGCAATCGAATTTGGATTTGAAGGGGAAAAAACCAAATTTTACTAGGAAAAGCGCAATTGATTTTGGATAACGAGAAGCGAAGCCAAATTTTACTTGGAAAAGCGGTATTGAATTTGGATTACGAGAAGCGATGTCTAATTTTAATGGGTACAGCGCAATCGAATTTAGATTAAAAGAAATGAAGCCAAATTTTACTAGGAAAAGCACAATCGAATTTGGATTACGAGAAACCAAGTTAAATTTTACTAGAAAAAGCACAATTTGGATTAAGAGAAATGAAACCAAATTTTACTAGGAAAAGCACAATCGAATTTGGATTATGAGAAACCAAGTTAAATTTTACTAAGAAAGGCACAATTGATTATGGGTAACGAGAAGCGAAGCCAAATTTTACTAGAAAAAGCGCTATCGGATTCGGATTACGAGAAGCGATGTCTAATTGGGTACAGTGCAATCAAATTTGGATTAAGATAAATGAAGTCAAATTTGGCTAAGAAAAGCTTAATCGAATTTGGATTACGAGAAACCAAGTCAAATTTTACTAAGAAAAGCTCAATTGATTTTGGATAACGATAAGTGAAGCCAAATTTTACTTGGAAAAGCGCTATTGAATTCAGATTACGAGAAGCGAAGTTAAATTTTATTTGTATAGCGCAAATTTTACTGTGGAAAACCCAATTGACTTTGGATTTCGAGCATCCAAGCCAAATTGTACGGGGAAAAGCGAAATCGAATTTGGATTACGAGAAGCGATGTCTAATTTTACTTGGAAAATCACAATAGAATTTGGATTACAAGGTGCAAAGTCATCTGTTTATGTATTATTTTGATAACCAATAACAAAATTCAGAGTCAACTAAAAAACCTAAATTGCTTCTGCAAATAATGGCTTTAGCCGTCGATTTCTTGCGAATAAAATCTCACACATTCAAATTAAAGACAGCAGGGACAAGGACACAGGAACATGTTTTCTCTACCAGATGGCATTGTTAATTTGCAGGATTTAGCTATTATTTGCGATAAATTGCTGATTGAAGTCATTGTTTACTAAATCAGTTTCAGTCTAATGACATGTTTGCCCACAATTAATAAATTAGTAAAATCTTCTGAAAGTAGTCAACGTCTATAGTCGCTATAATTATAGTCGGGTGGATAGAATTTCGATCTAACAAAAAGCAGAACCATTTCAATGTATTCTGGACCAACAATTGAAAAGTTACTATCAAATTTAATTAACAAAACATTGATAGTTCTTTCCTCGTCAACGGAACGCAAATTAACAGCATCAGTTAATAGGTAAAACTGTCCTCAATCCGATGATTATGTTGATATGCCTAGGTGAGCCTTGAATCACGAGAAAATGATTTCCGAAGTTTTGTTTGCAAAAACTGATGTGCTCTTTTCTGTTGTTGGTCGTGATATGCTCGATTGGTTCTGTTATTTGACAGCGCACTTGGATCCAGAGATGCTATCCGCCAGACTCTAAATATAGCGACTAGAGAAAAACGTTGACAGCAGAAAACGGTATCTTCTCTAATAGCACACTTGTTACAAAACGGTAGTGGATGCTTCCATGCAACCTATTTCAGTCACAATAAAGTTACTGCAACTCATTATGACAGAAGTGTTCTACTTGGGTTCTTCTTTTAATCGATCAAACAAGAATGTCATCTTTTCTTTGGGTCTTGTCAGTCGTTCCCTGGCGTTTCCAATGAGCGTGTTAAAGATTGTTGAGAGATCAAAACAGAATACAATGGTTCATTGGATATGTTTCTTACACTGAAAACACATATGAATTTGTCGGTTGTAAGTGTGTAAATTGCAATCTTCCAGATCAGAAGCAGTCTTATTCTGTTATAATTGTCGTTCAATAAGCATTTAATATATGAAAAAGCTCCCTGCTCCCTGCTCTACAACTGGTTTTGTTTGCAATGTATTTCAAAGGGAAAATCTGTCCATTAGTCACACTAAAATTAACACCATCACCACCTCATTGATTAATTGACCTGCCCTTCTTCAACCCCTTCCACAGGAATCCCCACGCCGAAGATCATCTGGTCCAGCAATGGCAAGGTCCTTCCGAGTACAATGATGGAATATTCCCACGAGTCCACCCTGAGCAGTAAGTTGGTGGTGCGAAATCTGTCCCGTGACCACCAGCACACCGTATACACCTGCCAGGCGAGCAACTTTTTCAAACGGAACGTAACGGCCAACGTGACCATCGAACTGCGGTGTAAGTTTTTTTTCCGTTCGAGAACGCATCTTCCTTCTAACCCTGGGTTTTTTGTTTTTTTACTATTTCACAGTGCGACCCCTGGTAGTGGAAATCGTCAACGGTAGCACGCCGCTTTCGTCGGACCGGCATTACGTCGTCCAGTGCCAGTCCAGCGGATCTCGACCGCCGGCGAAAATCAGCTGGTGGCTGGACGAGAAGCAACTGATGGCAACCAACCAGACGGTAAGTCGATGGGTAATCGTGAAATTTTCGGAAAATTATCAACCTTGTCCCCAAACCCGCCCGAACAAATCTCTATGCCATTTTCCGGATGGCGTAGGTAGTCTGGTATAAACTTTTATGAGCTTTCAGACTCGTAAAAGCCTAAATTTTTGAGCCGGGAAAAACTCATTCCAATTTCCGGCCCAACACACCACGCACAGTTCTGTTATCGTCGTCGTCATTCTCGCCCGGGTAACCCGCACTAATTGATTTCCTCCTATGTTCATTAAACGGCTCAAACACTGGGGTAACAGCTTTAAGAAGATTAGGTCGCCGACAGATAGGCTCTCGTGTGGGATGGGAAAGTGCTGCGGTGGATGATAGCAAATAAGATACACGCGCACAAGTATGGAGGGCTAGAATGGGGGAAAAAAGGGTATTACTAGGTGTCTTCCGTGTAGGAGGATGTGTTTGAATGTGTGTGTGTGTGTGAGTGCCGATGGGTATAATGACGTCTATCCGGGATGGTAAAGTTTATCAAAAGAAGAAAGCTTTGAACTTTGGATGTGAGGCGGGGTGTTTCCGTGCCTCAAACGTTGTCGCCTACATAGACGTACGTAGACAGCTGACTCGACGGTTGCTATGGGAAAAGCAAATGGGTTTGAGGGTGGTTCCGAGTACGAGGCAACGGGTATGATAGCTATTAGCAGAAAATGCGGCTAAATTTTCGAGAATTGGGAAGCAACATTTAATGTGAGTTGAAGAAAAAGTTTTCAGGTTTATGAAGCAACGAAATGGAGGCTTCGTAAAAGTTAAGCTGTTCCCTTTTTTGGGTGTGCGAAATAGAATTACGCTCCACATTGCACTATGGTCCGAAAAGGGCAATTTAGCGAGGAAAAAAGATGGATTCCGTTTCTGTTCATTTTAGAGGGTTGGTGTCTTCGTAGAAGATGTTGATAATTTAATGCTCCATCATTTTATGAAGATATTGATCAGGGTGGTCCTCATTTAAACTGAAATCAAATATCAAACTCTTTTGTTTTAATTTATAGGTGGTTCTCTTCTGGAGCAAAGTTTTAAAAACAATTATTTCAAGCAACTTTGCTGAGTACACCACAAATCTAGCTCTTTATTCGACCACGCTGGAGATAGTTATCTGCATTCAATAAGGGTACCACTAAAAAAAAAAATCTACTTTTAGTTGTTTTGAATGTTTCGAAAAAGTGATCTTCAGAAAAGTTATAATTATGGCGCATATTTTTGCTCAAGGAAGTACTTTGGTATAATGGGTAATTTTAAGTCAATAAAACAAGCAATCATCAAATACTAATATATCACGTAGTAAGACAGATAATTTTATTCTTGATTCGGCATCTAAAAGAACACACATAACGCAAAATATAAAGTTAAATCTGCGAGAACACCTTTTTCTTTAAATGGAGTAAAGCAACTTTAAAAGTACCCTAAAATAATTTTTGAAGCTACTACGAGAAAAGTAATTTTTTAGTGGCATCCACTTTAAAAGCAGCAAAATTGCTGAAGAATAGTCAAATGAAGAACAAGGCATACGGTGTCTCCAGCAAAGTAGCAAAGTTATATTGTGTCTATAACTTTGCTGAAGAATGTAACCAACTATAAATTAAAACAAATAATTCTACTACTCTTGCATCACTTTCACTTTCATTAATTCATATTCACTAATTCACTTTCACTGTTTGCTTTCACTATCACTAACGCTCCTATAGTTGCGGTACGTTAGAAGCGTTAGGTTCCTATAGTTGTGCATGGAGATTCAATACACAACTATAGGAACCTTACGCTTCTAACGTACCGTCTTGGAGGCGAACCAGCCCAAGTCTGAAAGCCTCCCTAATAAAGATAAATCAATTAATTAATTCTAACGTACCGCAACTATAGGAGCGTTTACCCTATAACAGATACGTATTTCGTTTACTGCTTGCAAACTTCTTCAGTGTCTAGTCATATGACTAGACACTGAAGAAGTTTGCAAGTAGTAAACGAAATACGTATCTGTTATAGTTCAAAGTGATAGTGAAAGTAAAGAGTGAAAGTGAATTAGTGAAAGTTAATAAGTAAAAATGAATTAGTGAAAGTGAATTAGTGACCCAAGTAACAATTCAAGCTGCACATTGAGAACAGAAGCTGATTATTGGTTGATTTAAGGTGTACAAAGCTGATTAACATCAGGCTGAATATATAGTTGATTATAGTAGTGCATGAAGTGAATTGTATCCCCGTAATCCAACCTTAATAAGTTAGCTGATCCAAAGATTGAACAAGTCTTATTTAAGCTTCACAAAACTTCACAAATCAGTAATGTGTTACACATATGTTGATAGCTTGATTTGTTAAATGTCGTCAGTGTCTGTGTCACTCGTTGCATGTCCGGCATTTTAGTTCTACTGAATTCATTGCCTATCTTTCTAATTACAAGCAGTGGCAGCAGTAGAGACAAGGAAAAGGAGATTTTTAGGAATAGCTCCAGGTAGATGTGGGCTGCGATGACGTCGGAAGTATACATTTGTAATCCTGTGTTTCGTCTGTTATATTGCACTGAAGTTTCAGACCGCATTCCAAAAATATTACTCAATTATGGCACTAATATAGCATCTAAATGGTCATCGAAATAAATCACGCACTTGAAAATGAGAAGAATGTTTTACTGTCACCAGTTGTTTTTTTACAATTCTGCGTTGCTGTATAATACTCTTCCGGTTGCTGTTATTCAAATTAAATTTGATGTGCTTCCAGTTGATGATCATACCTTTTGCCACACATATGCTTGAATGGTCCAGTAGGTATGATTGACGCTAGTGAATCAACGACTGCCGGTTCGAATCCTGAAATGCAAAGGTAATTTTTAGACTTATATCAACAATATAAATAAGTAAATCCAATTATTCAGCAACAAGTTAAAGCAGCTCCATATAAATGCATAAGATATGATGCGGTCTTCCATTGTTATTTTTGAAATAAAACTAGAAGGCTGAACAAGAGTTGAAAAAGACTTGTATGTAGTGCCTTAAAAAACTTATATTAAATCACCAGATTTAGATGTTTAAAAGCCGAACAAAGATTAACGTGGTCTATATACAGCAATTATTCAATCTAAGGCTGAATTAAAATCGATTAAACAACACTTGTTAAGCATCAATTTGTTACCTGGGGAATGTGAATAAGTGGAAGTGATACACAAGTAGTAGAATTAAAAGGAAAATCGACGTAAAAGGTAAACAATTGTTCCAGTAAACCGCTCATCAATGAATTTAGATGAAAACAAATAAGTTTGATTCTAAATATAAATATCAATGAAGACCACCCTAATAAACATTTTCATAAAATGAAGGAACATTTAATCGATCACCTTCAAAACACCTACTAATTGTTCGTGCCTTGATTTATCTGCTTAACGGTAGATCAAAACGCTACGATGTTTAATGTCCGACGTATCGGCCTTTCGACTTGGCCTTCTTCAGGGGGTATAAAGATGTACTATCTTTGATTAGGCGTAAACAAATATACGATTCAAAACTTAAGCGAGCCCGTTGGATGGAAACGTTGGCGATAGTAAAACTGTAATCAGCACTTTTTCTTGAGGAACGAAAAGCCGAATAAAAATGTCTAATTCTTCAAGATCTTTATGCATCCCCGAGGGTCCAGACTTTCCAAAAGTATTCGGTACGTCCCTGAAGATTTGTGAACTGCCCTTATGATCTCTGAACTTCAACAAAGTTTTCAAAACTTCCCTGAATCTCTCAGAACTTTTTGAAAGGTCCCACAATTTTCCTAATGTTGATTGAACTGCCTAGAAGCTCTTTGATCTATGCTTAAGCTCCCTCCATTTTCTTCAAGTTTTTGAAATTTCCTAAATGTTCATAAAAGTTCCCTTCAAATTTTTAAACTGTGCTGATCTTATCTGGACCTGTCTGAAGCTTCCCTTATTTTTCAAAAATATCTCGGAACTTCTCTATCTTTCCATGAACTTTCCTGGTATTCGTGAAACTTCTCAGAAGACCCTCTTATTTTGCTGAAATTTCTTAAACATTCCTGAAATTCTTGGAATTTTCCATGAGTTAAACCCAACTTCTTTAATGTTTCTGGAATTAATTAATGCTACTGCTATGAAGTTCTCATATCTTCTTTTAAGTATTTTATGAATATAACGAAACCTTCCAAAAATGTCCAAGCTTCTTTGAACATTGCTGAAATTTTAAGAAATGGAGGGCTACGAAACTTGTTTAATTAAAGTTAATTGAAATTCCCTGAGATGCTCTAATCTTCCACGATTTTCTTGAACGTACCCTGCAGTTGTTGGAATTCTCCTCAAATTCATGATACTGCCCGGAAATAAAAGGATCTTTCCCAAAAATATTTAAACATTCCTGAAAATCTCTAGACCACTGAAAAGTTTCCAATATACGTCTTCAGTTATCTAAACTGCTCAAAAAATTCTCTGGACTTCCATAATATTTCTGAAACTTCTTAAAGTATCTCAAAATTTTAGAAAAAGTTTATGGAGCTGTCCGGAATTTACCGAAACTAATCTTTAAAGATCTTTTAACTTCCCCGAAATATGAACTTTCCATACGTTGTTAGAACCGCCCTTACGATCTCAATGCTTTCCTGAAGATCTTATGACCTAGCATCTCTGAGGCCCTTTTTTCTAGTTCTTTTATTTGTAAGGCTCAATCTCGTTAGCTTTACGGAGCCGATAATTCATTGTTCTTTGTTTGTAACAAAATTCATTTAATTCTATGTCTAGTAGGAGTGTGTGTGTGTGTGTGTGTGTGTGTGTGTGTGTGTGTGTGTGTGTGTGTGTGTGTGTGTGTGTGTGTGTGTGTGTGTGTGTGTGTGTGTGTGTGTGTGTGTGTGTGTGTGTGTGTGTGTGTGTGTGTGTGTGTGTGTGTGTGTGTGTGTGTGTGTGTGTGTGAGTGTGTGTGTGTGTGAGTGTGTGTGTGTGTGTTCATTCTAACCCCCCCACTGGCCGGCAGTGTTATTGT